CTTGTAAAAACTACCTGGAAAAATGGTATAGCAATTTTCAGCGGCGCCTCGGGGTAGCCGTTCGAGGGAAAAGGGTTGAAACTGAACTAAACGACTCGAAGGCAAGGTTATTTACTAGAAATAATTATTACAAATAATACAAAAATAAAATACTCTCATATTTTGTGAAAAGAGATCAGAAATAAATGAGTAAAGAACTCTCGTTTCTTTAACTTTAACCCAATTCACTCTTTTATGAATTATGTTCACAGATTTGTAATCGTTCAATAATAAAAGCCGTATTAAATTTAAAAAAAAAAGAACCAAACGTCACTTCATAAACGACCATCAAAATGTATGAAAATCAATTATTTGTCACGAGAGTATTGCTCCATAAATAAACATACAAATAAGTTCATCCTGGATCCAAAAATTGAATGGAAAATTCCGCAAAGAAATTTCGATCGGTTCGTTCTGCTCGCGAATAAATAAGCATGGCCTGCAAAAAGATTTCACTCGAAAAGTGCAGGATGCAAGAGAAATGAAAAATCTGTAAACCACAAAACTCGCGATTCGATTCTTCGACCTGATTCATTCAATTCAGACGCCTTACTCGCCCGCAAAACGCCGCGCAAACTTCGTAAAAGGATCAATATCCGATTTCGGGAGACGAGTTCGCAACCCCGCAAAAACTCGCGCGAACAACGGCGGCCGTTCCGCCGAGGGTGAAATCAGCCGATTTTGCAATAATCGCATCGTTTCGGCCAAATGACAGACGTCGGCAGTGCGTTGCAACGATGCTCGTGTAAACGGATGTTTGCAGCCGGAAGTTCGACCGTATCGCGGGAATTTTGCGAGTGCATCGGACGAGCCCGGATTTAACCAAGCGTATAAACAAACAGAGACTTTGAATGATTTGCAAGCGCGCTCTCGCGCCGTGACGAGCGTTATTGTGCAGACGCGGGGCGTACGCGAGCAGAGCACGTTCGTCCGTTGCCACAAATCATGGCAGCAGGCGTTGCTCGATTAGCCGTCGCCGCGTGCGGACGGCGAGATTTCGGGGCCGCGCGGGGCGCGTTTCGAAACCTCCGGCGTCGCCTCCAAAATAAATAACTTTTGCGCGGCGACCGAAAATATGGATATTAGTCAGCGTAAATGTTCCCGGACGACGTTCCCGCTGATATCGCGCCGATGCATTACCGCTCGAATTGCTCATAAAACGAAATTATTCGTGGAAGTTGCCGGCCGACTTCCGCGCAGCTGTCCCGCGGAAACCGCGGCCGCCGTCGTTCCGCTGCGACCGAAATGGCGGCGGTGTCCTGCGGGTTCGAAAGAAATTCGGCGACAGCCACCGTCGTAATAATTTCGCCGGGGAAAATAACGTAATTGCGCTGCGTCGCGGAGGAGCACGCGATTCTCGTTGCTTAACACTTTATCGTCCGGTCGTGGTTGAGGCTGCCACTCAGTAAGGACTGGCTTAGTCGCGCGCGCATTTGCTCCCAGTACCGGCTAAATTTTCGCTATTCATTGTGTTGTGCTTATTCCTTTAAAAATAATAATAAATAATAATAATTATTATAATTATAATTGTACGGTCCCGAAAGGACACATGTTGCTGTCCCCACGAACGACCAGCGGCCAAGGGTCCGCATCCCTTGCGCCGCACGTGCGACCACTCGAGATGCTCTCGACCTCGGGTTTCGAGAAAGCGGTCGCCCCCTTGAGCCATCGGGACCGTCGCCAGGCCAAGGGGCCATAAATCCACATCGGGCCGTTCGGGCCCACGTCGTCATGCTGTTTCGGGGTAACGTCTCGCTCCGGAATTCTCAGCCGTTTTCGGCACGTTTTGGGGGTTTCCCAACATTGACTTGAGGGTGGGCTCGCGTCCTCCGCCGAAGAGGGGATCTAACGAGAAAATTCTCCTCCCTCAAGTCAATCGGCGAATGGGGATGACGTTTCCCCCAAACGGGGCCTTATCGAGACAT